CCGCCCGCCCCCTTCCCGCTCCCCCGTCGCTCCCGCAGCCGGCCGCCCAGGCGATCGCCGCCGGTTCTCCCGGGATCCTTCCCTTCCGCGCGTCCACCCGAGGGGAGAAAGCGGAGGAAACGTAATTCTGCTCTTCCACATCCACCCCGGAAACGGGATACGGCAGCAACGGCCGCTTTCCTCCGTCCTTCGGTTCGGCAAGGCTCGCCCGTCTCGCTCCTTCCCGCGGGAGGAGGCCCGACTCCCCTCCCAGGAAAGCGAAGGCAGGAACGGCCTTCCCAAGCAGGCAGGACTCGGTGAAAGGGAAGGGAGGAGGGAGCTGCAGCACTCGGGTCGTTCAAAGCATTTCCGTTTGCCAAATGCCTAACTCGGCAACCGACACATTCCTAAAAAAATCCGTTATTGCTGGATTGACCGTGAAATCCCAAGGGGACTTTCCCTGCTTCAAGGATGGTGTTGAGAGGCTGCACCGCTACATGTTAATGCCGATGCATTTCTACTTTAAGCTATAAAAAAACCCCCCATTTCATTGGTATAGCAAAAAGATTTTTAATAGAACCCCTTGGATGAACAGGATTTACCCACAAGGCCGCGAGACTTGAAAGTTACAAAATCTGCACTTTATGGCCAAGATCCACCTAGATCATGACAAAGCGAACAGCGCTTCAAGTTCTGTTGTTTCCTTAAGAATTAAGAGGCATTCATCTTTCAGCACTTAGATGACAGATCTGTAAGTGACATACGATTACAACCTCTGCAACTTGGGAGTAGCAACAAATAAATTAATCTGAGTACTTTTCTTAAATGTCAAAACTAAAACCAGGAGCTTCCTCACGTAAGGTTATAAAAGTTCAATTTCTGCCCACCCAGAAAACCTCCAAGACACCAGTAGCATCTCCCCCTCAAACCAGAGCTCCACGGAGCTCCCCGGCGGGTAGGTTACCTTTTGCAAGGCTTGTCACTTGGAGCACAGCACTAAAGTCATGGCATTTCACGCCTTCTGGTTCGGAATTTGTTTATGCCTCGCTATTTCAGACCCTAAACCAGTGCGATTGCATCACGCTGTAAAAGCGGTTATAGCGGCCATCCTGGCAGAGTTCTGACCTTCTAGAGCTCACCAGTGCGTATGAGAGGGTGAACAGGTTGAGCTTCCAAAAGGCTGCAACAAAACCCTTCATCTGCTCAACTCAGTACTTTACAGTTGCGTTATGCTAGCTAGAACAGAGAAAATCCTCTAGTGTGGAAACTTACAGCAACCTGTCTATTGACTTCAGCGGGTCAGGATTTCTCATCAAATATCTCAGAGAAATAACAGGGTAGTAGCTCCTACAATCCAGACGAAGTAAAAAAACCAAGCCACCAGGTAGGCACTTTTGACCAATTTCACTAAAGACACAAGGTATCTAAACAACTTTCAAAATAAGTTGGACCAAATTTTAACCAAGTTACGCAACAATTACCATTTAGCAAAATAAAGACAAGTCAAATTTATTCTTGGTATAAAACAAACGAAGCAAGTAAGGCAGACGAGACCTTGGTTACGCACCTAGAACAGAAGCAAAAACTAGTAGATTCCTAGTTCCTCACCTTGAAGGCAATACTGATAGATTAAGAAGTAATTCTTCTTTTCATTAACTGATAGTTAATATGGTGAAACAAATTCAGTAACACTTCAGCCTACTTCATTCACCATTTAACGTGTTTGTTGATTGCGGTCCATCTTTTCACAACACAAAAATAGTAACTTCTATCAAATCTCAACATTCTAGCATATAAAAGATAAGCATTACAATGTCAGTAAGATGATCTTAAGTTGTAGAACAAAATTAACATTTTGGAATACCAATTCCATTAACATCTACTAAAACTGCTTTAAAAAAAATAAATAATGAAGTACAAAACCCACTGTTATATACTACTATAGTACAAACGGATGAAGCAACATCTCCAGGTTCATGCACAGCTCAGCTGATCCCTTACAAAACCACGTGACATCACTGGCTATTTTATTTAGGATACTTATTAATTATTATTCACGGGGCATTACCATTTTCACTTCACTTATGGTATATAAACTTATAAAGACTGAGAAATGTTACATGACTAAGGGTGAAAGAAGTAAAGGTTCCTCCAGCAAATCGAGCGAAAGAATACTTCAACTCAGTAATTACCTGTATTTAAAAGAATTTTAGTTTTACTGAACCAACGAATCCAGACATTTGATACAAACGCTACGTTTGCAGTAAGTAAAATGGCCAAACAACACTACCCACAGAGGGTCTGTAATATTCAAAGACAGCAACAAAGCAAAGGCAGAAAAAAGACCCCAAATTTACAGAAATAACCTATGCTTTTCACGAACTGAGGCTCTGTGTTTCACTGAGCGCTTGTTTCATGAACTATGCTGACACAGAGTGCGTTACCTGTCCGAAACGCAGCCACCGGAATTGTTACATACGCATAAACTCTTAACGCTGCCAGCTTGCTCCCCCAACGCCCTGAGAAGGCAGCCATCGCTCAGCTACTCGGTGCTGACCAGAAAACACATCAGGAAAGACAGACAAAGTCTTGCATGTATAAAGCCAATGTGCAGATTCTTCAAATACCTGGCTCAGATATCTTTGCCTTTCCCAAAAAGTTTACGTAGCAACTATCCTGCTACTCGTTTTTACTGTTCCCTCCTCATGTTCCAGAGTTTATTACTTCTCTCTTTCACAGCTTGCTTTATGTTCTGCGTCGTTTTGCAGCACTTGGACTGGAAGGATTACTGTTTGCATTTAAGACCTTTTCAGTCACTCTGTTGCGCTTCCTCTTATCAGATCCTTCTTTGGACCCAGAATCTGATGAAGTTTTCTCTTTCTCTTTGCTGCTCGGCTTTTCAGTTGCTTTTCCTAAACTTCCAGAGGGTGCAAAAACTGAAATAGGATCAAAGTAATGATTCCAGATCAGAGTCATACACATAGGCAAACAAGAAGTGATATCAAATTTCTTTATATTACATAAAACTTTTCAAACCAATCAATTCTCAGCATATTTAACCACCATTTAAGTATTACTTTCACTTTTAAAGGAAAAATCTTCTGTAAGAAAGGCACATCTTGCTTTTATTATTTGCTTTAAAGACAGGCGTGTATTTTGACAGGCTAAAAATG